AAAAAGTCAGCTAACTACTTTGTTCTAAATAAAATGGATTTTCCTCCTTATCTGCAGAAAAGAGAAGGCTGGAATTAATTCCTGAAGAATTGCACCGCCATTGTATTCAAGCTATGCAAGAAAAAGTGTCTCTCGAAGTACAAAAGCACCTTGAAGATTTTAGGTACATATTGTTTATTGGTTAAATTTTATGTACACTTTGAAGTTCAGTTATTGCTTATTTGTAGTGTTTTAGGGAATACTTTCTGCAAAGTATCCGTCTTCATTTTGAGGATTTTTGGAAATTAATCTAAGCCAGTATATCCTGCAGTCTTAAATGCGGTCAGGCTGCCAAGAGCCCAGATTCTGATTATGTGACCATAAGGGTGGTGCAGTGGCTGTTACTTTGAGGACTGGTTGTAACTACCATTTTTCCCAATACTGCCATAACTTCAAACAGTCCCTGAACAAATAGTTGTTAAGTGAGGACTGTCGTGTCATCTTTTCACATAAGATAATATATAATGTATTCTTTTTAACTGATTGGTTTCACTGAGATACCAAAGGCGTATTTAAGAATAGCCTGCTGCATCGATGGCCCACTTCCTTACACTCCTGAAGGTGGGCATCCAGTGCTTCCCTTCTTGTGCCCACAACAGTTTCTCGCTCTTCATTCTGTTCCTTCAGACAGAAACGCAGCATGGGTCTCACCCTGGCAGAGGGAGAATTGACCAGGCTGGATGCAGAACGTGTTCGGGACCGGATGACCTTAGAGAAGGAGAGAGCGTGTGCAGAGCAAATCCTGACCAAAATTGAAGATGTGCTGTACGTATGCCTGACGCAGACACAACCTTTTAGCTGTCCTCTACGGAGGAGGGAGCTTGGTGAGGAAGGAAATTACAGCATCTTTCCCCAGAGATGAATTTGATAGGTAGATCAGAGTGTTGTGTTCTGTTAAGAGCTGTTAGTCCAGCTCTTAAAAATGGAGCTGGAGCCCAGCAATAGTTAATTATTTCTGCTAATGAATTGTCACAAAGCAAAGCCTATGTTTTGCAGAGAAAAACAAGGCTTGACAACCATAAGATTAGTGGTATGCCTGTTAATTACAACTAGCTATGGTAGTTACATTCAAGTATAAGATATGCGTTAGATTATCCAATTTTGGTTCCTTTTTTGTCATGATCTGAGACTTCTTGCTGACAACTTTCAACAACAGAATGTGGAATTTTAGTGTACTCTACATCTGCTACTTCTTCCTTTTAACATTTAACCCTCTGGCCCTATTACTATGGTAGTATAACAGGTTGGCTTGAAGGACAATCCAGCCTTTGTCAGTCTAAATGAGGGTGAATATTGAACAATGAAACTGCCATTTTCATTAATTTTTGCCTCTTTCCTCTGCAGGATGTCATCTCAGCCTCTAGAAGAAGATAAGAGGTAATTAAACCTTGGTTACAATCACGCTAAGTCTTTCCCTTCTGGTTTATATGTGCTGAACTGGTGGAGTCCTCTATTGGCTGCTTAGGCAAATTACAATTATCTTCTGCATATTCTTCTCTCTCACACTCCTTTACACCAATATACAATATAATCTGACTGGACCTGGCTCTATCTAATAACAGGCAAGGGATCTTTCACAGCCATTCTATTCCACATCCTACTTTAAGAGAAATGGCAGTGACTGAATTTAAAACTACATGACTTCCTGTAGTTTGGGTTTATGAGTATTATAATGAAGTTGCAGTTCAATACTTTTTGGGTTGCATAATTTTTCTTTCAATTATTATTATTATTACTCATTCCCACTTAAATCAACAATTTTAGGATTATAATAATGGTGTTGATTATTTCATTAATAAAATAATAGAAATGTTAGAGACATAATCATCTGTAGGTAGCTCTTCACATCCTCCTATGGGTCATAACAATATAAATTATTGTCAGTGTCAGAAAAATATATTGGAAAAGAGAGAAACTCATTTGCCATCCCTTCATTGAAGTTACTTGATGTTGTTTTCCTGTTCTTCTGTTTGGTCTCATCTACAGTTCAGCTATACAGTATGTTATTCTCACCTACATGAAGCACCTTGGTGTACGAGTCAAAGAACCCCGGAACCTAGACCAAAAACGGGGACGGATTGGATTCCTGCCAAAGATAAAGGTAAAGTTGATATTTTTTAAAAAAATCAGAATTACTGTCCAGGTGACTGTTTGGCAAATTGATAAGTAACAATTTTAATAACACGATGTTAACAAAGCACAACTGTGATGTTAAGTAGTACCATGTGTCTCTGCCACTTTGAGCCTATTGCAAAAGCTTTTTCCTTCAATAGAAGAAAAAATGTATCTAGTAGAAAATAGAGTCTCTGAATCTGATGTTGGGGACAAACGAGAGTATATCCTATGTACAGTCACTTTAATTAGCCACACTGGAGGAGAATCAGAATTAAGCCTTACGTACATCTTTATTGCATGGACTGAAAATATATTAAGACTTGTATCAGAAACTGAATTCCTTGGAAGCTGTTGCAAAAGAGTGAAAAGTGTCAGTTTTGAAACTTAATTAAGGGCATCAGTACAACATTGTAAAGCAGCTTAGGGCCTGCTAAGGGAATTTCAGTGAATCGGTCTGGAGTTTCCCGTTTGGACACTGAATGTTCCAGGATACCATGCATCTACTTGTGTTGGTCTCTTGTTGGCCTTCACACAACAATTTGTTTCCATCTTGAGGGAGCAAAAGAGTGGTGCAAGATCACGTGTTAGTTCTGAATTGCAGAGTAACTAAAACTTTCCTTTTAAATCAGGCAGGTTCAGCCCATGGCCCACAAGCCGCATGCAGCCTAGGGCAGCTAATAATGCAGCCCCACAAGGTTGTAAACCTTTAACATAATTATGTGAGTTTTAGTGATAATTGTATGCATTAATTATATATTTTTTTCTATATGGCACAAGACAATTCCGTGGCCCAGGCAAGGCAAAAGGTTGGACACTCATGTTTTAAATGGTTGCCTGAGAAGACCCTTTTGACAATTATTTCTTTGGTTCCTTTTCAACTGTAGCAAAGTATGAAGAAAGATAAGGAAGGGGATGAAAAGAAGAGGAGGGTCTTCTCAAATATCCTGGGACCGCCAAGGAGGCCGAGCCGCCATGACAGCTATGCAAGTATGTCAACTGAAGATATACGTGTTTTGTTTTTCTAGTGAGTTTGATCATAGTGCCCTGAAGCTAAATGTTGCTAGGCTACGGTGGATGTATTTTTCAGGTTTCAGGGGAGAGTAAATTTTCTGCATTGCTGATTACTCCTTATTCATCCAGTAGGCAGAGCCATGGAGATACAAAAACAGCGCCATCCAAAGCACTTATCCTCATCATCTTCGGTCAGTCCGGAACCACCAGATTTGGTCAAGATGCGCCAAAGCGGGATCAGTGATGGCATGGATGCAGCCTTCCAGCCTGCTAACTTTGTATCTCCAGCAGCTTCTGGAACGTTTCCATCTCAGGAAGGGAGCAAAGATGGCGAAACAGGTGAATTGACATCATTGTCAAAAACTGTCACAGCCTCTGTCCATTTTCCAATTGCAAGAGAAAAATATTCCATTGTCATACAGGTCACTGTCATTGTATAGATTTCTGATTGTTGAAAGGCCACTTATCTCATTCGAGAGATGGGGTGATCCTAGGCAAAGTAGGTGGAGAAATGGTGGAAAACACTTTAGAAAATGGGTAGTTTTAGATGTTTAATACCGCTCTGCCTGCCCTCTGCCTTATTGATTTGTTCTGTGCTTATATTTAGGGCCAAAACAAGTTGGAGAAACAGTTAATTCTGGTGATTCTGTGGACGGTACCCCTTGTACACCTAGCGTCATATTTGATTTTCCATCTCCTCCCCTGGACCATTTGCAAGAAGAAGAAGGAGAAGTTGATAGGCAAGTCTTAGCCTCAGACTTAAGCAATAACTTTTGTAATTTAGCGATATGAGAATTAAGTACGGCATGTCTTTTTAGGACAACAGAGATGATAGCCTAGATGTTTTGATTGTCGACCACTGTTTTTAGTCTTTTATAACTGCGCTCCTCAATGGTACAAAGTTCATCTTGAGCTACTATTGAACTCTCTTTCTAAAGTGATCAATTAAAAAAAAAATCACTTTATCAAGTAATGTTTTCATAAAAGTTTGGTTTTCTTTCCAGGTTAGGAGAATCAGGGACTCCAAAACCTTTCCGCAAGTGAGTACAAGTCTACATGTGTGCAAAATAGATTTGGCAATAGTTTCTTACATTATCTGACTATAGCAGAAGAAAGAAAAAGCATCTTTATTGATCTTGGATAGAGACAACTAGAAATCCAAATACATCCATATAAAGTTTTTCTGTGAAACCTAGATACGGTGTAGGGCAAATAGATCCTCATTAAAATTTAATTAATTGTTATATTGTCCTTGGGTAATGTACCTTTCCCCTTTTGGCTGAGCTGCAGCCTTGGGTCTCTCTCCACCTAAAATAGAGAAAAGGAAGTAACTGAGGATACAATACAAAGCTTGGTTAGATCTCATTTCTAACCCTAAGGCAAGTTTTAGTCTCCAAGGACCCAGGCTGTGTTATCCTTAGTTTGTTTTTCTTACTCTTCCGGCAGAGTGCCTTGCTAAAGTTAAAGAGGCCTTTCCTTTCCCTCTTCCTAGGGTGGACAGTGTGAGTGCTGGGGACATCCAGAGTGAAGACGAACTTTTTGATTTTGACATGGAGACAGACCAGCCCAACTGGCAGCAGCTGGTGAGCCGGGAAGTGTTGCTGGGCCTGAAGCCATCTGAAATTAAACGCCAGGAAGTGATTAATGGTGAGTTATGGAGAAGACGTGGGAGAGAACCCGAGGAATTCCAGCCTTGGTTGTTTCATTGTTTTCTGTAACCAAGGTGCTATGTCCACCCTCAAAACTGCAGCGTTGGCTTTCAGTCACACTGTCCAGAGGAAGATTCCGGGGAAGATGAGAGGGAGGTTAAATTGCCATAGCTCTGAAGGCACGGCCAATTGTGGTATATTTGGGGCAGTTCAGGACAGCTGGCATATGCAATCTAGATTCTTCTTTATCTAGAGAGGTTTATTTCTTCTGCTGTTTATCAATTCTTACCTTCAGGGAACACCTCCTAATATTATTCTGAAGGTGTTTTTTATCTGCACATTCTTCATATAATCCCTTCTCTCCCTTATGAAGACCATCACAGTGACTCTGTTCGTTGTCCTTCTTTCCAGAATTATTCTACACTGAACGTGCTCATGTCCGTAAGCTGAAAGTCCTGGATCATTTGTTCTATCAGCGTGTGTCCCGTGAAGGGATTCTGACAGCTCCTGACCTGCGGAAAATATTTTCGAACCTGGAGGATATCCTCCAGCTTCATAGTGAGTGAGACTATCTGACTGCTGGATTAATAAAGCACTTACTCAGTCTTATGTGAAAGTAACTGAGAAAACAGTCCTGGGTTGCTGGGTTTTTTTCTCCTTCTGAAGGCTGCACTGAGGCTTGAAGGGCTGCCTGGTGTTTTAGGGCAGAGGTCCCCAACCTTTTGGGCACCAGGGACCGGTTCCGTGGAAAGAGATTTTTCCGCGGACCAGAGGGGGCGTGGTTTTGTGTGCTGCCCTCATCCCGTGGATGGGGCTTTGCTTGTTTGTGCGGATCGGTTGCTGGCATGGTGCGGCCCGGTACTGGTCCACGGACCATGGGTTGGGGAGCCCTGTTTTAGGACCTCAGATTGTGCCGTATAGCTGTTTGTATGTGTGAGAAAGGGTGTTGTTAAGCTACTAGAGTAAAATGATGCTTAAATATGTGCTTACTAAGAGCTTCTTATCCTGTCTCAGACTTTAAATTAATTCACTCTGTGAGTCAATCCCATCTATTGAACGAAAAGGGTGTATGTTAAATAGAGGTGGAAAATGATGACAAAGAGGAGGGGGATTTTATGGGGTTGATTATTTTTGGTTCCTCAAAAATATTTTTCAAGAAAATAACCTGGGAGAAGACTGCTTCCCTGCTACCACACTGAACAGCGAAACAATTTAATATGTATTTGTATTGTATTGTATTACTACAGAGAACTAGCTTGGTCTAGTGCAGTGATGGCGAACCTTTTAGAGACCGAGTGCCCAAACTGCAACCCAAAACCCACTTGTTTGTCACAAAGTGCCAGGGCTGCATCAGCATTGTGGTGCCCCCGGGGTGGGTGGGGTGTATGGCCTACTGGGTGGGCGTAACTGCAGTGGTCATGGCAGACTGGGTGAGCGTGGCCGGTGCCAGTCCCTTGCCATCTCTGGGGGGCCAATGCCGCTTATTCGCTCACTTCCTGCCCTGTCATTTCCAAACGCCATGTGCTCGCTACTCTGGGGAACTCTGCTGGGGCAACGGCACACGTGCCCACAGACAGGACTCCGAGTGCCGCTTCTGGCACGCGTGCCATGGGTTCGCCACCACTGGTCTAGTGGTTGAAATGCCAGACTAGAAATCAGGAGACTGAGTTTTATCCTGCCTTAGGCGTGAAAGCCAGCTAGGTGACTTTGGGCCAGTCACTCTCTCAGCCCACAATGTCAGGTTTGGCTATTAAACGGATCAGTCAATTGCTGTCACGACCAATAGGTTGACCAAGAGGTGGATCTGAAAACAAAGCGGATCCTGCATTTGCAGAAAAATGCAAGGAAGGGGGAGAAAAGCATATTTTATGTGGCTGGTTGTTATAAACACTCAGAAGCTGATCTTGAACCAACCAGTAGTTAAGTATCACTGGTTTCAGGCAATTACTTTGGTTTTTCAAAATATCTCTCCTTATTTCTTTTTCTTTGCTACTTAGCTGGACTGAATGAGCAGATGAAAGCAGTGAGGAAAAGAAACGAGACATCTGTAACTGATCAAATTGGAGAAGATTTGTTAACTTGGGTAAATTAAATGTTTGTGTGTGTGCATATGAAAAACCACACAAGTTTTTTCCTGAGAATTGAAATGTTTGAGAAATAATATATCAGTTGAGCTACAAATCCTTGGCATTTATTTTGTCTAGAAACCTATTATCTGAAACTCTTCCATTCTGGGAGAAATAAATAAAAGGGGCAGTATTAAGATAGGAAGGTTAGGCAGCATGGAGCATGCATGAATTATATAAGAAAGGTGACTTTCTTATATAATTAATATGTGAATAAGGTGATTTAGCTTAAAGAGTTTCAGACTAGTAAGTTCTCACTTTAGGTTCTGGATTCAAGTAAAACCTTTTAAAATACAAAAGTGCAGCAAGTATTAATGCATTCATCAAGGCATTAAAGGGTTAATCGGGATTCACTAAAAATGAGGCATGCTGGTATTTAGTAGCAATATGTTTTATGATAATTATCATTTAATCTTGGGAGCTGTACATGAAAGCTCATTAGTAATAGGAACCCCTATTTTCCAAAGTTTGTGTACAAGGATAGAAAGAAAGGGGCAAGTGGGTCTTCCCATGAACTGGGTAACATAGAAACATGTTTTGTCCCCAAGCATCCATCTGCTGTGTAAATAATTGTTCATGCTAGCATTATACCTGTAAATCACTGTTCATGGTTTACATTTTATTTTACATCTTGTACCTGTGGCTTCTCATCCCAGTTCAGTGGAGCAGGCGAAGAGAAATTGAAGCAAGCCACGGCTACCTTTTGTAGCAACCAACCCTTTGCTCTTGAGGTGATCAAATCACGGCAAAAGAAGGACTCACGCTTCCAGACTTTCGTCCAGGTAAATATGGGGGGTTTGGCATCTAGCGGATCCTTGCTTTAGGGCTCCCGGAGATTGGAGGTGAGGACAAAGCATTCATTCATTTACAAAATTGAGCTCTTAAAAAAAAAAAAAGCTTTCTGAGGCTGCGTCTTAAGTTTTTAAAAAACTGAAGGAGAAAAAAGAATAAATGCCAAGTATCTCACTTGATTTATGGAAGATCTTTGCTAATTTTCTCAGCTCGGTGGTTGGGATTCTAAAATATTATGTATTCTTTACATGGCACAAAAAAACTAAGTTACCTTCTCCTTTAAGCCTGTGACTGAGATTGATTGATGATCATATTAAGTCTGAAATAATGAGTAGTGGAAGCTGTTCCCGGTTTCACGCTGGACCTTTCCTCTAATTGCCTACTAAAATAGGATTGTTTGCATTTCTGCTTAATCTTGGTGTTCCTTAACTTGTATTTTCTAGCCTGAAACGTGAACCACTAAAACGTTTATAGGGCAGTATCAATTCAGGTAATTATGGTCTTAATAAAAATTACACATGCACTTGCCCCTTTTCCATTTAGGAAGCTGAGAGCAATCCACTGTGTCGCCGATTACAGCTAAAAGATATTATTCCCACTGAGATGCAACGGCTCACCAAGTATCCCCTCTTGTTGGATAATATTGCAAAATACTCAGGTACCATGTAACCCATTTTGTTTGTGGTTGGATTGTGATGTGGCAATTACAGAGAACTATTTGGATTCAAATTGAAACCCAAATTAACAAATTCTGTTGAAAAATAATTTGCCACCATTTCAGTACCGCTTCATCTTTCTGAAATTCCCTTATCTTCCTCCAGATGAAGGAGCGAGGTGATGAGACGTGATTTAAAAAATTAGATCATTAATAATGAAATAAAATATTCTGGGTATTCCTTTTTGCTATTGCCATTCCTCCCTTTTTGCATTCTTCTTACCTATAATATTAATGCATGAATTTCATAAAGCCTTGATACAAAGTTCATCTTTATAATTTGCTGCTTAAAAGAAGCTGGAAAATGTGGGGCATTCACATTTTGTCTCAACTATTTTGTCTTAGCAGACAAAGGAATGCTTTTTGTCTTGAGAATGAGTGAGTGTGTTTCATTCTTATTGTTTCACATTTCACCCATTTCATTTTTAGAGCAACCTTTAGAGAAGGAAAAAGTGAAGAAAGCAGCAGATCATTGTCGGCAGATTCTCAATTTTGTGAACCAAGCTGTCAAAGAAGCCGAGAACAAGCAGGTAAGAAGAGGGAGATATAACTTGATTTACAAAAGCTGAAGGGACTATTGGCTGTGAGGTAGGCTTATGGGTTTATAAATGAGAAGGCTATCCTTTGTCTATCCTTTGTTTTAAAAGGGATCCCAAATCGACCAATTATTGCCTGCCTTCAGCCAATTGTCCTTGGCCAGAATAACTGACTTGAGTTTCTCTTTTCTCAACAGCATTTAGAGGACTACCAGCGGCGGCTTGATTTGTCCTACCTGAAGCAGGTGGAGGGCCCTTTGCTGGATGAATTCAGGGTGAGTGAAAGAAACAAGAGGGATCCTGAAATCTGTTAAGCATTCATAAATGTACTTTGCTGTTCTTTGTGCTTCTGTTTCCAATTTTATTGCATCCGGTATTTGGACTTTAAGATACCACAAAGCAAAAAGAATGGAAAATTTTACATATCTCACCACATTTGGGGCCATTTCTTCTCAGAACACGGATGGACCTGGATTTATCAGCAGGCTGGATCAGGCTATATAAAATGAGAATTATTGCCTAGAAAGGGAGGCTTGAAAGGGAAATATGAGGTCCCTTCTTGTCCTTCTTCTCAGATTAGAATTCTTTGGTGCAAAATGACCTACCTATGTGGTGAGATAATCAAAATAATTCTCTGCCTTTTTCTGGTGAACAAATAAGATGATGAATATGTATTAAAAGATCTCTGATATTGGTTCCTCAAATTTGCAGTGATGGTCCTTCTGATAAATATTTTGAATTTTACAAGCAGTTTCAACACCAAAACACCTAGCAGGAAGTAAAATACAATAAAAATAATAAAACGCCAAGGATCTGCCAATCAAAATGGATAATTTTTTTTGTTCTTTTTTGGTAGAATTTAGATCTAACCAAGAAGAAAATGATTCATGAAGGGCCTCTGACTTGGAAGGTGAATCGTGACAAAACTATTGGTATGTTGTTACCTGTTGTTTTCACTGAGACTTGTAGGATATCAGGGGAAATTATTTGAGGATATTATGTAATTTCCTTAGAGCTAATTAAGCAATAAGTATTTTGAAACGGGTTGGAAGATAATAAAGGATGTGCGAGGGCACAGCAGTGGTTTTCGAGCTGGTTCTCAGAAATAGGGATGGGCCCAAATGCTTTTTATGCCTGGCTGAGAAATTTTATGCCTTATTATTGCTTCTGCTTGGGATGCAGCCTTCAGTATCTGCAAGGTAGAAATAATAGCCCATTTCTGTTTTTCTCCTACCACTGCAGATCTCTATACGTTGCTCTTGGAAGATATTCTGCTATTGTTGCAGAAACAAGATGACAGATTAGTGTTGAGATGTCACAGCAAGATCCTGGCCAATACTGCCGATAGCAAGCACACATTTAGCCCCGTTATTAAATTGAACACTGTCTTGGTTCGCCAAGTGGCCACAGGTTAGTAGGAGTGAGAATGTTAAGTGGCTCTAACATTGTTTTGAAAAAAATGGTGTTGTCTAATCCAATCATTGTCCTTGGGTAGAAGGATGGGATTCAGGAAAGAATAGCAAGTTGAAAATCATTGCTCATTAAGAAGAACCTTGATGCTCCTCTCAAATTTGCCAGAAAGCATCTAGCTGACCCTCAGTTTTCTGACAGAATGCTCTTTGAGCAGCTCAGTCAAAACTGGAACTTTTCTGGCTATATGGATGTCATTATGTCTGCTCGATCCAGAGAAGTGTATTCTCCAGTAACGCCTCATATCAGTTGGCGGAGGTAATTTAATGAATTACCGTTTCCATACCATGGATGTCTAGCCATCATTCAAAGGAGCATATCAGGCCAAGTGTCTGTTACCAATAAAGGAGAATATTTGCAGCTCAGGGTTGAAATGAGGGCCCTTGATATTCTCTGAGTTGGATTGTTTTCTTGCAGACATTTCATTGCCCAAACTAGATAACATCATCAGAGCACTGATGATGTTACCTAGTTTGAATAAAGAAACCAAAGGACCCCCCAATTGTCTGTTAACTGAAGTTCAAACACAAATAGGTAATGCAGCAAGATAATGGTTCAACCCATACAGACAGGGTGACAGGGCTACAGTAAAATCCATGTAGTTTGGTTACCACCTTGTTGGTTATCAGTCTGCTGCTTTATAGCCACTTCAGATTTTTCTGGGAGAAAGTCATAAGAGGGTAATATTCTTGTGGCATTCTGCTACCCAGTAGATTTATACTTAATAGAAGCAGCCCAATTTGAATCCAGTTAAATAAAAGTACTTGTCAGAATTGACTACCCTTAAAAGCTGGTTTTTCGTCTCTAACCTTCATTTAAGTATATATTCCTAATTGTGCTTCTTTGTAAGGACCCAGTTTGGGGAAAGAGCCTAATTGCGTCCCATACAGAATTTGTATAATTGATTTTCCAGCAAATAGCATAATAGATGCTGTAATTAAACCTCTGACCTGCGAGAGGTAAAGTGTGAGAATTGCTGCTTTCCTTAGGCTAAGATAAAACAATGGCTAATTTCAGCTATTTGCTTTGTAGAGGATTAAAACATAATCAGTCTTAGATATTTGAAGCACTTAATTTATATTAGTAACATCCATAAGAAACTCTGATATTGATTAGTGACAAAAATGGAAGGACTAACTTTTTCATAGAACTTTATACAAACAGAAGTGAACTGTATGCCCCCTTCCTATTCACCTGTTCGATGCTCCTTAATGCAAAATTGCCCATATCAGTCATGACACCTGTGCATTTACTCCCACAAAGGATAAATGTAGGAAATACAACACTAAGAGTCACACTTGAGCAAAGAAGCATACTGACTTCTGAAGTAAATGATTTCTTCCCAATTTAGGAAAACAGAATTTAAGAAACTAGGATTATTAAACCTCAGTTAATTAGCTGAATAGGGCATGGCTGCTTTTCTGTGTGGAATCATTTCTTATAACTCTGTATACTACATTCTTGAGTGAAGTTGCATGACATTTCTTATCATTTCCTTAGGTGCATATTTTGCCCAATGGATGAGAACTAGCAGAGCACTTTACAAAACACGCCAACTGTTGGAAAGTTGATTGGGGAAAAGAGAAATTGTGTTCTGTCAGTTCAACCTGTGCAGCTGAAGTCCATTTTAAACTCATGTAGTTACTGCAACAATTACTGTCTTCTTCTCAACCATATCTGATATACAAAGCTGAATTCTACTAAATCAAAATAAGATAGAGGTTCTGTCAGCTTTAACTTGTTCTTTGTTTCTCCAGATAATAAAGCATTCTTTGTTATTTCCATGTCGGAAAATGGAGCCCAGATTTATGAACTGGTGGCACAGACAGTTTCTGAAAAGACAGTGTAAGTTGACTTGGGCAAATGCAGACTATTTATCACTTGTTAAGGAGGGAAATAAATCTTGTGTTCCAAATCTTTGAAGGAGCTTCCTCTACAAGTTGTAGGGTTTCTTATAGAACTCTTTGAGGATTCTTCCTCCCATTATGGCATGTAAAGTCATCTTTCTCTCCTGCTGATAAAAATGGAACGTAGATTAGAGGAGACTTAACCAAGAAACAAAATTGTAGTATTCCTCATTTAAAGTCAACCTAAATTAATAACATATTAAATATCAACAGCAGGGCTTCTCAAAACATGTCATAGGAAATATTTGTTGTCTTCAGTAAGATACATAGGGCCATCTGTCATCAATTAGGCAAAATGTTGGACAGTTTATGTTTCTGCTGTAGTGTGAGAAGCAGGACAGAAAGGATATACTTGCCCTGCTCTGCTAAAAAATTTAGTTTCAATTAGTTGAAAGAAGAGCACCCAATTATGAAAATTAGGGCTATGGCACTATTCAGTTTCAAGCAGAAACTTCAAAGCAGTGTAGGCACTCATTGCACAAAGATCACACATATGTAGAAAAAGACACAATATCTTAAAGGGAACACTGACAGGAATAGTGTCCAATTCACCAGTTTTCTACTTTGGTTTGGAATATCTGTATTTGTATATAGTTTACGGGAAGAGATAAGGATATGAATTGCTTATGAACATCCTGTCCATAAAGTTATTATAACAGATAGAGTAGACTTTTAGTCCAGTGAGGAAGGAGACTAAAGTGGCCTGTGGCCAGGAGACAGAGAATAAGATGTATTTTGGACTAATT